CCCCAAAACCCCAAAACCCCAAAACCCCAAAACCCCAAAACCCCATTTACCAACTGGATAATTGAATACTTATCAATAGAGAACTCTTAAAAACTCTTTAAAAATTACTTGAATATCAAATAAAGGAGGAACATGAGCACAAGGATCAAAACTACTAAGCAAATGATCATTTTAGTCCCCTTCCCTTTCATTGTATCTGCATATTTATTTAGCTCACCGACTCCTTTCTTAGTGTTAGCATTGGCATCTTCCATATCTTGGACTACGTTTGCTAATTTATCCCCTTGAAGATCAACTTCTTTGTTGAATTCAATGCCAAGCTCTCTGATTCCAGACATGACGTTTGATACTTTAGAAATTCCCTCTCTTCTATTCTGGATCATGTATTTAGTGATCTATGGAAGTTGTTAATGACGAGCATACCTCAGCCTCAACCTTTGTCCTTCTCTGCTCTTGAGTTAGCAATGGGTTTTGTTGAATATCCCTGATAGATTGGTTGACACTTTCATTTTCCTCATCGCTACCTTCGATAGTATAGATTTCACCGTTCTTCATGCTTTGCCTTATCTTAGCTTTAGCCTCTTGCTGAATGAATCTGTCATATAGTTTTTGATACTCCTGTGCAAGGGATGTAGTCTTCTTTCACTGCGTGTGATAAATGGTCATTGCTTTCTGAGCCTGGCTATGCTTATTTTCCAATCTCATTTGATTAATCAGCTCCTGTGCCTTGTCTAAGTATGCCTTAACTTCTTTCAAACTAAATAGACAGAATTAATTAACTCGCTTTATATCAGATAAGAAATGCAAATCTATTCTGGTTAAAATAGGTGAAGAAAACCTACTCTTTTCATTCTTGATCAGTATCCTTAGTAAAGAACTCTTTGCTATAAGTGTAATTACAAAGGTCTTACAATTCCTCCAGGTTGTAAGGATTATAACTATCTGATAACCTCTCTACATCATCGAGTACCCTCCTCGCTCTTCTATTACTCTGCTCTATTTTGGTTAATCTCAATTTAATTTCATGATAAATCTCTGTAATATCTCCTTTATCAAGCAATGGCATTTTCTAAATAATCTTTAACCCCAGTCTACTATACCTTCAGCTCAACTATAGTGCTTGACCTAGTTCCGTTCTCAATATCAAAGTTCTCGTACGACATTATTATTAAAAATTAGTATTATCTACTCAATTTTCTTTTGCTTTTAAGGGGTTTTGGGGTTTTGGGGTTTTGGGGTTTTGGGGTTTTGGGGTTTTGGGGTTTTGGGG